AATGGGCATGTGGAAAACATTAAAGTGTCAGAGTAGAAACAGTAAAGCTCAGCTCGTCTGTAGAGACACTTGGCCTTCGCTGATGGAGTTGTTACTGGAGGAAGATGAAGACGCTGTCAGAGAATTCAGACTGCTTGGTTCGCTGCCCCCAGACAGTGACATTACAACAGTCGTACTGTGGAATTAAAGGTTAACGCACAAAACATTGTGTGTGATGTCAACTGCACAGCTCACATCTTCACTCCTCTTTTTTATGTTGCGTTTCTTTTCTTCTTGAAAGGCAACCTTCAGTTTTTTCCCTTCTTACTCCTAAACAGCTTTCGTCTTTTCTCTGCTCTAGCTTTCATCTCACAGCACAGTTTTTTCTCCATTCTGTCCCTGAAAGGCTCGGACTTTGTTCTCTCGTGGTGGGTTTTCACACATTAAAGTCTCTCAGAACAGGAAATCCTAACTCTCTCTCTTTCTTTCTCTGGGTTTCTCATTACAGAAAGTCAGTGAGAAGGTTGGAGGGGCAGAAGGAACCAAGCTAGACGATGACTTCAAAGAAATGGAAAAGGTAATTATCTGTCTGTCTTGTCTCTCTGTGATTGACACTAAATATAAAACACACTCCACGGTCAGACAACTGTTGTATCAGAGCTAAAGTGGGTTTGTACATTAACTGTGACATTGCTTCTCTCATGTTTTGCCTGATGTGTTTTCCTCTGCAGAAGGTGGACGTCACCAGCAGAGCAGTGTTGGACATCATGACCAAAACTACAGAGTACCTACAGCCTAACCCAGGTATGGAACCTTGAGTCAAACCACACCCAGACGCCCGTCACGCAGTCCAGAACTAATACTGGTCTCTTCTGCTCCTTTAAAGCATCCAGAGCCAAGCTGAGTATGATTAACACCATGTCAAAGATCCGCGGGCAGGAAAAGGGCCCTGGTTACCCACAGGCTGAGACTGTGCTGGGTGACGCCATGTTCAAGTTTGGACGGGAGTTAGGGGAGGAGTCCAGCTTTGGTAAGTGGGACTGAACCCGTGTTAATGGTGTGATGGGAGGGAGCAGCATATGGTGTTAGTTCTGAGTCTCACTAGACCCTTAGGCTGAGAAGAACCTAGAGTAGCTTTAAAGAGACAAAGCCAGTGGCTATTTTAGTTCAAATTACCTGAAAAGGTAAATGTGCAGTTCCTGGTGAAAGACTGTAGGACGTCAGAGCAATAATGACATTCAGGGAAAAGACTAGAAGGCAGCTTATCAAACTGAAATCAGGCGTAACAAGGTCAAGTTATAGACATCCATACATTTCCTTCTATGAGACCAAGTCACCAGAAAAGGACAGTGGATGTCAAAGTTAAGTGCAGTTTGAGACCAAACCCTCTCAGCTCTGACACTAAACACACTGACCAATGGAAAGCCCTGGCTCCGCTGGATGATGATTTACCACTTCCTGTTTGGGAAAACGTTAGTCACACAGGTCACTATTTCTTTCCATTCCCCTTCTTTTACTTCTGTTTCTCTATCCATCCTTTATATTTCCTACTCTGTCCCATCCTTCCTCTCTCCCTTTGTCCCTTCCTTCCAGGCCTGGCGCTGATTGACGCTGGCGAGTCAATGAAGGAGCTTGGGGAGGTGAAGGATGCTCTGGACATGGAGGTCAAACAGAACTTCATTGACCCGCTGCAGAACCTCCATGACAAAGACCTCAAAGAGATACAGGTGAATAAACAGCTGTTACAGGCCCCAAGTTAAGATGTTTCTCTAGTCTTTAATGTGCTGTTTGCAAAGCTTGCTGAGCTGGAGTTAGTTCGTCACTGAATAGCTGCATAATTACAGATGGTGCATAGCAGCTTAGTGGACACCAACGCATCTCCCTGAATCGTAAATGGTACCCAAAGTGACTATGTTCCTCCTCCGCTGCAGCACCATCTGAAGAAGATGGAGGGCCGCCGTCTGGACTTTGACTACAAGAAGAAACGTCAGGGGAAAGTCCAGGAGGATGAAATCAAACAGGCGCTGGAGAAGTTCGACGAGAGCAAAGAGATCGCAGAGCAGAGCATGTTCAACCTGCTGGAGAGCGACGTAAAGACAAGCTTATCTTTTTACTTTTGCTGAAAAGTATGATAAATCAGTTGTATTTAATTTATTTAATAATTTAAGTGCTGGGAAAGAACAAAACAAATAAAATATTCACCATGTCTGTTGTACCACTACTGCTGCTGTAGTTACACATGGAGCTTTGGAGAAAGATCCCAGTGTGTTCAAAACTGCAACAGAAAAACCAAGAGCTGCAAACCTGTGCCATGCTGTTCCAAGCCAGACCCAGGCCCAGCAGGTGCACAGAGCAGAGCTCATGCAGTGAAGACACATATGGATGTGTGTGTGTTGCAGATTGAGCAGGTGAGCCAGCTGGCAGCGCTGGTCCAAGCTCAGCTGGAGTACCACAGCCGAGCTACCGAAATCCTCCAACAGCTCTCCAGCAAGATGGATGGCAGGTATTGATTTATCAGCCTATCTGTGATGAAAGCAAGCTAATAAAATAGAAATGATCAGACAAAACCTATGTGCCTCCAGGATAAAAGAAGTGTCCAGTAAACCCAGGAAGGAGTACACTCCAAAGCCCAGGATGACCCTGGAGCTGCTGCCCCCCAGTGAGAGCCACAATGGAGGGATACACTCTGCCAAATCCCCCGGAAGATCACCAGGTAGAGGGCGCAAGTGTATCCTTGGTGGGCGAATGGGAGCTTGAACCAAACAAAGCATTTTCTCCTGCTCTGCAGTGGAACGGCCTTATGCCAGGGTCAGGCTTTGTGATATCAGTGCAATAATGACCTGGCTTGACAGGCGTGGGCCACCATGAGTAAAAATGAGCATCAGGCACAAGAATTGCTTATTCTCTTCACTGTAGACTACACTACAACAGAAGCAACATAGCATCTTTTGCACCTCACATCCTGACAATAAACCAAAACAAAAGAATGGACACAGAAAAATGATCAGTTAGAAACTCGTTAAGAGGTAAGAACCTGTGGCCACTAGACGTAGCTCTGGACTCACTAAACCTGCCTTGTCCTTTTTGCCTCTGTCCCTGCACAGCCCCTATGGACCAGCCCTGCTGTCGAGCACTCTATGACTTTGAACCAGAGAACGAAGGCGAGCTGGGCTTCAAAGAGGGCGACGTCATCACCCTGACCAATCAGATCGACGACAACTGGTACGAGGGCATGATCAGTGGCCAGTCGGGCTTCTTCCCCATCAACTACGTAGATATCCTGGTGCCGCTGCCTCATTAGGTCCTACCAGTGGCCTGACCCTTCACCCCGACCCATCCAGACACCCCGAAACAGCCTGTATTTGCATAAACAACAAACCACACCCTCCTTCTACTTCTTCTTCTATGATTCTGTGCGATTCTGCTTTCACAAAATGGACTGAAACAAGAGAGGTAGGACAGTGATTGGAGGAGAAGAAGAGAGGGAGAGGGGGATGTCAGCGTGTGAGATGCAGAAGAGAGGGAGAAGTGAGGGACTGGCAAGAAGACGAAGACCTTTTACAGCTCAGCGCTCGGCCGGGCAGCACTGGATCCCAGTGAGGCCTTGGAGACTTACGACTAAGGCACGGTGTATATGTACGTGCATGTATGTGTCTGTATGTGCGTTTCGACCTGTTCTTAATCTATTATGATCAAGCCAGCACAAACTCCTGCTCGTCAGCTAAACTGTCTGACAGCTTTTTGTGATACTGTCTTCTTCTCCTCTTCCTTTACTTACTGTAAGAGTAATTCTGTCATTTCTACCTTGACCTTCTTTCTTGTGCTTCTCTTCAGTCCTAGATTCCTCAGAAACTGTCACAGTCTTTGCCACTTTCTTCCTTCCTTCACTGGCTGGCACTGTTTTTTAGCATGGCCCTATACAGTATACAGACCTGTAACCCGTGATCCAGAGCTACAGTAGGTCATCAAACCCTTTGGTTTTTCTTTGAGTGTCTCTCATAGTCTTTCTGCCACTTCTTGTAACATACCTGCCTTTCTCAGAGTCTGTGTCGAGCCTCAGCTCAGTCGATGTATGCATGAACCAGCCAAATCAAAGCTCTGAATAACAGTAAAATGTAGTTTTCAAGAGCGAATCTTTGGAATAAAGCTGTATCTGCAATAAGCAGGTTTTTGCAGAATGAAGAAGAGAACACTTGGTCACTTGTTTTGAAACCCATTTTTCTTACAATGAGAGTTTTAGAATGATTTAGAGGTTTGAGAGTTTGGAAGGTCATTCAACATGTTGGTAAACATGCCAGCTCAAGCTATGAAAGGGAAAAACTGAGTTACGTGATTTAGCCGACAGCAGCGATATGCTGCTAACACAACCAGCACAGGCTAGTTGTACTGAACAGAGCATTTCACCAGGTTAGCGAACTGATAAGCCTTGGCTTATTACAGTTTGGATAGAGGAAAAGATGCTTGTTTTCTCTGTGTGCTATTTTAAGTTACCCATTCACAGTGTTTGTGAGTACTGTGTGGAGTAGATAGAAGTTGAGTCAGATTATTTGTGGCTTTACAGAGGGCTGCATGCTAGCTGTTAGTAAGCACATGTATATACACTATCTTTGTGCACTCCAGCTGATGAGAACCCAGTTTCTTCTGACGTTAATCTTAGTAGACGTTTACAGTCTTGCAAAAGGACACATCATTTGTTGACCAACATGTTGTCAACTGCTGTGAGCACTACTGGGGAAGCCCACATATGGGACGGTCATTCCTACCACTCTCATTTCCACTAGTCTGTTCACCAGCTCTTCTTTGTCAGTGGAGGATGTTCTACGTTTTATGAACATTCAAGCTGGAACTCTGAAAGTTATGGGACATTTTAGAGAGCTGACAAAATTGTCAACTCACCAATTGTTTTTACAGTTGGGCAGACACTGAGCAGATTTGGTCCAGTTTTAGTCAGTGGTTGCCCTCAACTAGTTTTGGAATTGAGGTGATTTTCACCCAGATTAGTTGTCATTTGAACAGGCCCCATGTGCCTTGTTAATCATCTGGACTATCAGTGATCTGGCTTCCAGACAATGAGTCACCGAGCTAATTCTCCCGACAACCCGTGGTGACTGTTTCTAAACCCAAACAGTCATTTCACAACACTCACCCATGTTCTGAAGGTATTGTCTGACTCCTATATGCTTCTGCTCTTCGAACTGTCTGGATTCAAACACAGCTCAGTCCAGTTGGCAACAGAAAATGGCGCTGTCTCTCTCACTTTCTGCAGAAGTCAAGCAGCACCACCAGTGGTCAGCTATGATTATACCTCTAGAGAGGTACAAGCTGGTGCTAACCTTGAGTATAAGAAGCCGCAGGTTCTGGTGTTGTAGGAAGAGCATTTTAAATGTGTAGTGTATCACATTGTATGAGTTTGATGAAAGTCACACAGTGTCTGCCCAGATTAAGGTTTTAGAGTCTTAAATATTTCAAAAACTTGGACACATTTCAAACTTTGTCCGATCTAGAGACGTCTGATCATTCCATAATCTGTCTCCGAACATTATGAACATTCTAGAGCAATAAGTGCTCAAAACACTGTGGAACCATGGACACCAGATTCAGAACCTTCCAGGTATCCTGATAGTTCTCAACAACAGTTAGCTTAGCATACACCATCACATTTGAATTTCCAAACACTTCTCATCAGTATTGGTGGTAACAGTTAGTTGTGCTAGTTCATTGGAGTGCATCACATACAAGATACAGCAGGACTTGTACAATGACTATATCGGTTACTCAACCAAAGTGAGACTTACCTTTTGTGTGCGTATGTATCAGCAGTATTCTTGGTAATGCAGTGTTAAGAAGCCTATGAAAAAAATTGATGTTGTTTATTGTTAATAATGTGACTATTTATCACCTTTTTAGTTACAATGGAAACAATCAGTTCATGTAACAACATTGGTAAAATCAAAGTTAAAAGGTTTTGCCTTTGATAGCAAAAGAATATTTTTAATACGTTTTGGTTGCAGAGCCATAGACTGAAGGATACAGCACTTGTTGCTAGCTACAATATTAAAACTTCTGCTCTTAACATATGCTAACATTTGTAAAGATGCAGTCATAATGGTTGAATATTTAATGCCTGCACTGTATTGTATAATTATAAAGCTTAGGGTTTTTTATTATGTCGTCAAGCATTGGCAGGAGTCTGTGCTAGCACAGCTAATGCTAATGTGCCAGGTGTGGCTAACCAGCTAGCCTTTCGCTTCACATTCCCGTACTTGTGCTTTGGTGATGCAATGTTGAGCAGATTTCTTAAAAGTAAAAGTAAAGTATTTAGTGCCTGAATACTGAATACCTCGTCCTAAGTCTAACATGTTATGTTAAAATATTTTATTTAGAATCTATGTATTTAAAATATTTGGGATATATTATCAAGTGGGTGGATTTCATTTCAACAGCTGTACTATGCATTCTTTTCTCACCTTTTTGCACCTTTCCTCACTGCTTAATGAACATGATATAATGTATCTCAGTTATTATTATAGTATATTACAGCAACTTCCCTGTTACCTTCCATTAACAAGGGAGTTAGGGGCATTGACTGCACCACCTGAAAAGAGCTGAATTTGCTGTTTCAACTAAATGTTTGTTTACATCAGTGATAGTAATTTTGTAGATAGAATTTTTCCCATTTCCTGATTTATATGGGAGTTTTTGTCACTTTCTGCTTGATCTAAAAACTCCTAACTACTGCTAATCTACAGCTCATTTCAAAACAAGAAATTACATTTTTAACATATAGACCTGAGGAACCATTAAAGTATTCTGAGAATTTGTTGAAAACTGTCACTTGGATAAAATACAGGTACTTTGTTTTTGTATTGTGAGGGTGTATTCTGCATACTGTGTTACAACCCAACCTTGTGGCGATGTCTAAGTGTCAGGATGCTTCTGTAACTGTTTGCTAAGACGTGGCAGTCTATTTATACTGAAATGTGAATTAGGAGTTAAACTGTTGTCCAAGTTTGTGTTTCTTAAGCTCTGGGTCAGTGCTCTGACGTGAGTCACATCATGCTGGGTGTTGTCAGGTTCTCCAGAACAGTGATAATTAATCAGGTTCTCAGCAGAGAAGAAATATTTTATAACATTTTTGTTTTGAAGATGGAAACTTTAAGAGCTAGAATAATGTTTTTGGCACAAATAGTAATAATAAAATTTTAAAACAAATATAGCAGTTTTAGCCATGTTGCACAGATTGAATAATGTCTATCAGCTGTCAAAAACATTCAATACCAAGGCAATAAATAATGATATAACAATAATACTAAATCAATAAAAGGAAGAGATGGTTCTGGAAGAAATCTTTGGAACTGTCAATACAGTCGTAAGAAAAGTCACGGCGCTATTTGCAGTTTCCTGGTTTTCTGCATAAACTGGCCATGAAATGTGATCTGATGTTCACCAAAGTCACAAATATCAACAGACACAACATTTCTAAGCTGATACAACACAAACAATCCTGATCTTTCATGTCTTTATTGAACACACCCATTAAACATACTGTACATAGTGATGGTGGACAAAGCCACGGCAGCACTAGGCTGCTGTTCACAAGCAGCATCAGCTGATGCGAGCCAGGCCTTGTAATGAAGGGATCTCAGAAGACCTACAGTCAAGAGTTGTTGGTTTGCATGTAGCTGGAAAGGGTCACAGAGTCATCTCAAAGACTTCAGACATTCATCAGATGTGGAGATGATGTGGTGCTGTGGCTACTCTCCATAGAACAGTATGCCATGGAGGAAACCACTGCTCTCCAAAAACAACACTACAGCAGCCTGAAGTCTGCCAAAGACCACCACGACCTTCCACAACACCACTGGGAAAATGTCCTGTGGACAGATGAAACCAAGGTAGAACTGTCTTGGAAGAACACACAGCACCACGTACGGTGTAAAATACAAAGTAGTGCAAAGTGCAAAGTAAACTGCAACCTTAATCATGCCAGTACACTTTAAACATTTGTTGTTGCTTCTGGGGGAGCTCAAGTGTCTGTGGAGGAGCTAACCCCCTCTGGCTCCCACACTGTAGCTGGCACAACGCTCCTAAACCGACTGTCCTGACTGCAGCCTTTTGTCACTGCCCCCTGCTCCCACATACTTGCCAACCTTGAGAACAAAAAAACAGGGAGGATTTCAGAACCAACGTGGGGGTCTGGGGGTCCTCCCCCAGAAAAATGTGAGCTTCAAAGACATCTTTTCCCACATTCTGGCAACAAACAACAATGAATGAAAACAACAAAATAATAAGTACACAGCAACAGACTTTCTATGTAAACTACTTCTAAGTTAACTTTTCTCAGTGAATACAGAGAATGCAAAATAACGTGTCTCCTTTAGCAAGAGCTCCGACATAAAAATAAAAACTTATCAGCTTTCATTTGACATTCAATGACATCAGAATGTATGTTTAAAGGACGTGTTTGATAAAGACATGAACGATCAGGACTGTTTGTGTGTTATCGCCTTAGAAATATTGCGTTTGTTGATATTTGTGGCTTTGGTGAAGATCAGATCACACTTCATGTCCAATTTATGCAGAAAACCAGGAAGTTGCAAACAGTGTCATGACTTTTCTTGTGACTATCTATCTAGAGAACTTGGGTGTAGACATCTCTTCCATTGCCAAAGCAGATATGCGACGATAGCAGCAACATCATGGTCAGAAACGCTCTCTCTCTCCTTCCTTCTGCTACATTTTCTGCTATATTCTGTTACAGGTTGTTGGAAGTAATAACAGGGGTTTGGGGCACAGCTCTTTGTTTGTTTTCTGAGTCTGCCTGTGAAAAGTCTGTGAGCTGCATGCAACTGAGCCGCTTTGTGTGATGTTTGAGATGGTTTTCCAGAAAATAATGGGAAACTCTGTGTCCTGCTGACTTTTCCTCACACTGCCTCTGTGTTCTGTGCTATGCTTTTCATGTTGTATTTACCTTATTGGTTTTTTAATGTAATATTTTAACTTGCTTAAGTGATATTTGTATAGCACTCTTCTTCAAATTACAAAGTGCTTTAAGACTTTTTAAAACCTGGTCAGGATTTTGTTGCTCTTTTATTTTTCTGAGTTGTTTTGTTTTCTTTTGTGCTGATTTGCCCTCTATGGCCACAGGTATTCTAACCTCAGAGAGGGACTCGTACAGTGTTATCCTCCCTTTCCCCATTCCACTTTAAAAACAGTCGGATCTCGGTCACGTTACCGGCCTGAGCTCAGTTGCAGCACTGTGTTCCAGCTGACAGAGTGACAAACGGAGCCTGTAGACTGAAGCTTCAGTTCTCCAGACTTTTCTTTAGAGACCCAGAAGCTCTGAAAGTAGATATACTCTCACTGTCTGCGAAGAGTCTGTTTTTCTGGCTGATTTTTATTCAGAATACATTTAAATGCTTAATTTCTAACACTAAGTAAAATCAGGGAGACACAAAATTTACCTTAAGATCAGAACTCTGTGTTTTTGATTTTAAGGGCACACAAAGAGGCTAATTATCTTCATAATTAAAGTGTAAGACTGGTCTTTAAATAGCTTTAATTATCTACTAGAATCAAGCTGAAGCTGTAATGAGTTGAATTATGAGTAATGAGCTGGGCTGTTTCTTGGCTGGGATGACAAGAATTAACAACACTTAAGGTATAAATTCATTACATTAATTTGTGATAAACTACTGTCTGTCTAAGATGAACTTTTGCTCTCCTTCAGAGAAATGTTTGCAAAACGGCAGCTACAGTCTGCTCAGTGACCTGCGGGGTGTAATAACGTGGCCTTGGTGTGAGCCGTGACTGTGTTACATAATACTGTCTGCTCTGTGGTTGTATAAAAAGCCCTATGCCTATAGAATCTGGTGCGCTACATGTGTGTATGTGAGTATATACACACTTGTTGTTTATGTATGTGCTGTATGTATTGATTCAGGTTATTTATTTATTTATTTATTTATTCCTGTGTCCTATTTATTGGTTCAGCACCTGTGGCATATTTGGCAATTGTCAGTGCATTGGTACATGATCTGGAGGAACTGGAGGATTGGGGGTGGGGGGGGTGTAGGGACAGGGTTGTGGTCAATGGAAAAACTTAGCTGTGATACTAACTCTAACTGTTGCTCTCCTCGTATTGGACAATGATATAATCTAAGACCACTGTATGTATTAATGCTTGTCGTTAAGATGAACTGAAATGTAATGACAATAAAGAATTAACACTATGACTCTGATCTGTTCTTTATAGGTGCAACTTTATTCACCTGGAAGGAAGTTGTTGTGCTGAACATGCTCTACTATACAAAATCTACAAAGTAATCAGCAAACCAAAATATGGACAGAATAAAGAAAAAAATGGTTTTAATGGCAGGCTAAGCAAAAAGCAGTAAAATAAAACAGAATGTCAGTTGTATTGTTATATATTATACTATTAGATGGCGTCTACATTGCATTACAATGTGAACAGCATTTTGATGCAGTTTACTGAACTATTTATTTTATTTTCTATACTATAGGTGATGTTGGTAAAAAACATAGTTAAAATAGTAAAAATGTTTTATTTGTTTAGTTGTCAGTAAAACCTTGGAAATTGATATTTAAATGCAGCAAACTGCATGACTCACTTTTCACAAGCGCCATGGGAACGTTTCACTCGTTGTCGCAAGTTCGACGGGATAAAATAGAGACGTACCGGAAGTGCAAACGGTTTGACACTCAAATAAATTTGTACAACAAAACACCATCGATACAACTAAACTTGTTCGGAGCACTAAGGGCACTAAACGTGTAGTTATATGGTTTAGTTTCATATTTATTTTTGTATCATGCTGAACATCTGCCCTGTCCCACTTGAAATTACAGAACGCACATAAAAAAAGAAAAAGTACCGTCTTGTAAAACCAAAAACGAGACAAAAATGTTACAACATTACAAGTACTCTTAGGTAAAATATTAATGTGGAAAAAATTCAAAGGAGCTGCTCATAAAGAAAAGCTCTGCCGTTTATTCCGGTAAGACGCTGTCATTTAGTATGATAATTATTAAAAATGTTTTATAGCACCATAACGCATCTAAAGTATATTTTAAAGTATATTTTAAAGTATCCTATAGCGCGCGAGACACCGGGGGGGGGGAGGGGGGGGGGCAACCTTGCATTTCCGCCACAAGCACGAGGATTTTATTTTGAAAGGGCTGCCCAAAAGAACAGTGCGTGTTTTCTAGCTGGTTTCACACTAGTTCCGCGTGTTGATACTGACGAGAGGAACGAGGAAAAATAAGATTTTTGCGTCGCAAAGACACGAACCGGAGGACAATGGACATGAAGAAGCGGGTCTCGTTAGAACTGAGGCACCGGTCGCCGACAGAGGTGAGTGACTCGGGTTAATTTGTTTACCGCCGTGTAAACTTGACCGGCCGGAGAAGGAGGGGTGGCGAGCACATGGCGGTGTCTGCAGGGTCCCGAAAAGTGCCAAAATGTACATTTACTGTTCGGCGCAAACCTCCAAGTTCATTTAACCTCCGTATTCCACAATAATTGTTAAGAGTTTAAATCTTTGTTTTACTGCAAGACATCCTCGACGTTTTGTCGCTGCTAAACATCGCAGCCACGCAGCTGCGTATTACTGTTTTCTGTCTTGTCTTTGCAGTCGTCTCTGTTATTTAGCTCTAAATTGTCTTACACGTTCGAAAATTAACACTTAAGACGTTTTGTGTTTACCTTAACTTGTGTGCGCCTCCTTCCCGGGCACCGAAATACATATTCGTGTCTCTCGGGACCTGGCTAATGTGCGGGGCCTTATTATTTTTAAATTATGTTTTGTTTATATTTACAGCCTGTGTAAAAGTACACAGTTGAACACATGTGGCCTTTTAGATTTTGTGTCGAATAATTCACTACCTGTTTAGATGAAAACTTTGTAAAATGAATAGTGGGTAACGTTTAAAACTAACGACTCGTCCCGGGTTGCTTTTCCGCTTATAGTTGATGCATATGTAAAGCAGGAAATGCGTCCGTTTTTCGACTTACAAACCAACGCTGATAAATCTCGATATGGTGTTTGCAGAATAAACCCATGTTAAACTAGGTTCATATGGTTCGGGTTAAGTATCTATCCAAAATGTTTATCATCCAGAGATTAGTCGGAGCCCGTGTCCATAACGGCGCGTAGCTAGCTGCGTGCTAGTGCTAGCATGCTAATTTGGGTACTTTGTGTGCTGTGGCTTTGCAGTAGTCGCCTGGATTGCTCCCCAACCCGCTATAAACCCCGTTATATTCAGTCGGGGTAACAGGTGAGGACATAAGAGAGGATAATACGCCGAATACCAGCGGAGAAGCCATTACCGGAGAGCTAGCAAGTGAGCTAACCTAGCAGCATCACGTGTGTTTGGAGTTTACAAACAGACAGATAGGGGCTCGTTACAACATGAAACGGAACAGGACTCCTCTTCACTAGTACGCTTCCTCGGTTGTGTCCTAATGTTTCTCCCCTTTGTGAATTGTGGTTATTGTTCATCATCATCTCACACACGATGTGCTTCTGAAAAGACTCGACGTCCACTCCGCCTCGGTGATGGAATGACTGGATTAGTCAAACTCGCGCCACAGTCGTGAAATAAAGAAATGAATCATTTTGACCCAGACCTCTGTAGCAGCACTGTGAGTGCCGATAGTCAGTAAACGCATCACAGCTGAGAGTGGTGAGTTTTCTTTCTAATCTGGATTTGAGGACGTTTCCAGTCTTTTCCTCGATGTTGCTGGTGTTGCCACACACAACTTGTTTATAGGCAGCCATTCAAGAATTTGTGTGACTGAGACTGTTGTTAGATTATTTTGTTTATCCATTTATTGTTGTTGCTTTTGTTTGAGCTTTTCTGACATGTTGAGCTTGTTGCGTTATCCTTATACCAGGTTTTTATTAACCACTAATGTTGAATATGTTTGTATTAGTTTTGGTAGTTACCTTTTTTGTGTTTATACTTTTCCTCATTAACAGCGTCTGGAAAGGGACCACCTGTCTGACTGGTGCATTTACAGCAGTGTTTTATGAATGTACACTGTCCCTCAATAAATAAAGACAAACGGTTATATCAGCTGCTCATGTCTGAATGAGTTAACAGCAGTTATTTATCCATCTGCCAGAGACAGAGTTTTTAATTTATTGAACCAATATAAAAATAATGGTAAGAAAGCCAAACTGTTTTTATGACATCAGCTCTTTCTGTTGTTTTATTGTTTCCAGCTGTGGTATGAGATGTTTAACTATTTCTTGCCTTTGAAATAAATAAAAAAAAAAAACAACAACCCTGGACTAAGAGAGCCCGCTTCCCTCTCCTCAGGTCCAGGAGCTGGTCCTGGATAACTGTCGCTCCAGCGAGGGCAAAATCGAAGGGATCACAGAGGAGTTCTCGAACCTGGAGCTGCTCAGCCTCATCAACGTCGGCCTGACCAGCGTCGCAGACGTCCCCAAACTGGACAAACTCAAAAAGGTCAGAACCATGTGTGTCTGTTTGTGTAGCACTGGACCAAATCCATGACATCGGTTTCATGTTGACAGATCTCACCCTGTTGCTGGTGGTTGTTGCTCCATTGATTTTCTAAATATTTGGCCATTATCGATCTGCTGGGTCTAAAGCTGGACTATACATCAAATCCCTTGATTGGCTTTTTTTTTCCTCTTTTGAATGATGTTAAACTGACTTGAGACTGGTGCTTCCTCTGCTGCAACTCAAGCGCCAACGCCCCAGACTGTGCATGAAGATGGCAGACATGTCACCACTTCCTGCCATTATGCGAAAGTGAATCAAGATGAATCATTGTCATCCAGTCACAAGTGATTAACTGTGGAAATGTAACATCTTTGTCTAGTAAACTCTTCCAGTGCAAAAAAATAAATGAACGTGCACTTGACGTTTAATCTTCGCTATCAAATATTTTTTGATTTTGTTGTTGAAATGTCTAAAACGGCTAAATATTAATCAGTCTTTCAATGCTCAGGGTGACGTCACAGCTGTCACCAGCCCACAGATAACGCATGGCAGTTAAGCTGCTATGTAGCCTAGCCGCACTGACATAACCAAGGTGGACAAAATAATAGAAACACTTGTCACTACGATGCGGCCTCCAAAGTGTATCTACACCTCTGTGAATCAATCTGACCACAAAGTGAACAGGGTCGCCTCCATGAACGAGGGTTTACTGCGGGACTGTTGGATCAGACCAACTTGTACTGAGCCTATAACAGATTTTTTTTTTTTTTGTTTTTTGTTTTTTAAACATTATTCCTCCTGCAGTTGGAGCTGAGTGACAACAGGATATCGGGCGGTCTGGAGGTCCTGGCGGAGCGGCTGGTCAACCTAACACACCTGAACCTCAGCGGGAACAAGTTCAAAGACATCAGCACCCTGGAGCCTCTGGTGGGTGGAGCTAGCATCAGAATAATCGACACTGACTGTCGTGACCGCTTGAACCTTAAATATTGTAGTTGAACTGGTCAAACTGGGGCGTTCTGGTTTGACCTGTGGCCACACCTCCACTGTCAGATGGTCGGAGCCTGAGCTACAGCCTCACACCTTGTAGTCAACCGGCTCTGAACTGATTGTTTCTCTGTCAGTTGTCTGATTTGTTCATGTGGATGTTTTCCCATGGACTGAACTTGCAGTCTGAAATCGGCTGCAGTAACAAGGCCATTACCTCTGCTGGTCAGAATCATGTGGAAGCATTTAAGGCAGCATTTGCTGTTATTTTTATTAATAAATCATTGGCTTTTCTTCACAGTCTTAAAACTTCAGTTTGTTTCATCAGAGATTTCAGTCACTGGAAGCAGCAGATTCTTACTTGGGTCGGTGTATTATAATAATTGTCACCAGTCAGTTTGCAGAGGCAGACGGAGTGTGTTACCATGTCTGTCGTGTCCCCACCAGAAAAAGTTGCTCCACCTGAAGAGTCTGGACCTGTTTAACTGCGAGGTGACCAACCTGGCTGACTACAGGGAGTCAATCTTCAAGCTCCTCCCCCAGCTCACCTACCTGGACGGCTACGACATCGACGACTGCGAGGCCTCCGACTCTGATGGAGAGGGAGATGGGGTCGACGACGAGGATGAAGAAGGTGGGGTTTCAGTGTAGCAGATAAGATACCTCGGCGTTGGCGTTTGATTGGTTGCTGTGAATCTTCCTTTGCCGAGCGTGTCGAGTACACTTCCTGTTTGTTTACGTGTGATTTAGTCTCTCCAGCTTCTCAGACATGACAGTTTGCAGCTTTTCTGTTTTACATCGCTGTGAACTGAGAATCTTTGGCTTTTGGACAGATGTCAGATAAAACATGAAATTCAAAATTTTCTAAACAAGACTAATTGTGAAAACAATTCAGAGTATTTGTGAATAAAAATAATATAATAGCCCTTGAACCAGGCTTCGTGCTAATGGTTGTGTTAACATGTAGCATGTGAGTGAAACGTACTTTAAATTATTGTGTTGCACCATTTATTGGCATTAATCTCAGTGCACGTGAGGCCGACAGGAATCGAGGGTTGTGTGTGCTTTGTTTTATATAGGTGTCCTGTCATGGTAAACAGCTCGGTGCTACATTCATCAAAATCTACAATGCAAGCACATTTAAAATTAGAAAAGCTGCTGCCACCAACCGTTTTCACTTTTAAATGATCTGTTGGGATTTTTCCTCATTCATTAATCAATTTAGTGTTAAAACCTTTCAAAACCTTTTTTTAAAGTCTACTAAGGAAAGTGTATGTTGACCAGTCAAGTGCCCAGAACAAAACAGATGTGCTGCATGTGATTGGCGTAATTATTAAATACTGTTCATCTGTTTTGTGCGTCCCAGAGGGCGGGTCTGAGGGTTTTGAGGAGGAGGAGGAGGAGGAGGAGGACGTAGTGGCTGAAGATGATGACGATGACAGCAGCAGCGAAGACGAGGTGAGTCGGTGGAGGGTTGCTTGTTTTCACGTGATGTTTATTAGGCAGAAACGTGTCTCCGGATGCTTCAGGTCATAACCAAATTTATGCTGTTAAATGAAATTGTCCTGTGAGTTTTGAAAGTAACTTGAACATGTTGACCCACAGATTCAGTCTTATCACACACCGATCCACCAAAAACGTAACTCCCTGCTGCGTTTTAACGCATGGGGTTGCGTTGGTCAGGTGGAGTGCTGTAGGCGTGGTACAGCCGCATTGTGATGAGTCGACGTGAGTGGCTTCATTCACATCTTCAGCCCGGGAGTTTTCATTCTTTTGGTTAGCCACGCTGCTAATGTAGCCTACTCTACCTTAGCACCAGTGGCGGTGGTTCTACATTGAATTACTTCCTGGGAGAGAGCCCGCAGATTATTTTCTTTCCAAGTGCTTGTGCCGCCCCCCACGTGTCATGAAAAAATGCCGCCCTGGGCGGCTGCCCGGTTCGCCCATGCCAAAAACCGCCCCTGCTTAGCACCACTTCTCCCATCAGTGTGTCGGTGTTGATGGATTAAAAACAAACTACTAATGAAAACACATAGTGCTGTGGCGCATTAACTGTGGCCACAGTGACTAGTGGTGAATACTCCTGCTAACAAGGTAAATAAAATTGTTCTTCCTGTGGGCGTCCATGTCCCGATCGTCCTCTGTACGTGATTGGTTAACGCAGTGCCTTTTCCAGGTGATGTCACCGTGTAGTGTGGTTAAAGTTGAACCGGTTTCAACGTTTTCATGGTACAGGGCTGTCATTTTGCTGGAGCCCCCTGCAGTGAACGCTGTCCCCCATAGAAATGAATGAGAGGGCTGCGTTTTTCACACATTTGAAACTCGGTCTGAACGCGTCCTAACTGCGGCAGCACTTCATCTTCATGCGTTTGCTGTCCGTCACCTGATTCTAACCAGTGTTCTCACATGTGGGGGTGTGTTTTATTTGGGGAAAAGTTTAAGGAACGGGGGTTTTGTTAAAATCTGTTTTTCTCACAGTCGGATATGAAAACGGTGTGAGTCGGTGCCCAGGTTTACACGGCGACTCATGGATGATGAAGCACCGACTTTTTACTGACGAGGTTTTGTTTCCGTAGGATGGAGAGGTGAATGGAGATGTGGACAGTGAGGAGGAGGAGGAGGAGGAAGAAGAAGAAGAGGAGGAGGATGGTCAGTAGCACTGTGGCTCCTCGCAGTTCAGACCACAGTTTGACATGTTCTGTGTTCTGCCTCATCCACAGGAACCTTCATCCAACCATTAAGTCATTTGGGCAAAAAATGTTTCCTCTGTTAAACAAGAAGAAGTGTTTTATTATTTCTGATCAGTTTTCACATTAATGTTCAAAATCGAGCTGAATTCACGGTGAGATGTCCCAGTTTGTGTTGGGAAATAAAGCTGCTGTAGTGACTGAGATACCTGCTGCTGATGTTGAACCTCTGTGTCTCCTCTGCAGACGAGGACTTGTCTCCAGCCAAAGGAGAGAAGAGGAAGAGGGACCCCGAGGATGATGAGGATGAAGATGATGAATAAGGACCCCGCACACCCCTGTGACCCTTGCACCCCACCTTGCTTCCCCCTCTGCTCAGCCCCACATCCCCTTTTTGAGACTGGTCTCTTCCCACTGCGCTCCTGTCGGCTCCCCCTTCACTCAAACCAAACGACTTCCGTTAACTCGCAAAGCTCATTTTTATCATTCGATTTTTACTCCCGGTCCCGAGTCGTCCATAGTCGTAGTTTTAAATTCATACGTCCACAGTTTGAACCACGGTGTGGTTCTTTAACAGACGCGTACAGACTCTGTATGTCATTTAATAGCAGTCGCCTGGAGAAAGTACCTGTGTGTTTGTAGTGATACACCAATAAGACATGACACCTTCGATTTGGCAGCACGGATCAGAACCTCGACTAATGAGTCATCATTGTTGTCTCAGTTAATTGCTTGGTCTATGAAAACTCAGTTTTAATTTCCTAAAGCTGAAAGTGATGCCTGGAGACGTCTGTGAAGTGTTGCAGACGAGGAAGAGCAGCAGCACGTCTTCATTTTACAACCTGGAGCCAGACGTAGTTTGGAAACAGTCGCTGGATCATCACAGTAGTTACTGTTAACTCATCAGTTAATCCAGTGATTGTTTCAGGCCTACAGCAGATCACGTCTAAAGATCAGCTTACAGAGCACCACCCTGCTCCACCTCTGACAAGTATTGTAGGGTTTTGCTTTGGTGACTAAAATGGGAAGGAAAGTACAGCCTCCCAAGGCGCAGCCCAGACCCTCGTGTGACGGATAAAACCACGTCGTCTTTCTGCACCATTAATTTTCCTTTTGCCTGTAAGTTGCTGTTCTGACAGGTACAACACAAGTCACTGGTATATTTATTACAACAGGCAAACATTTTGGGAATTTCTCCCAGTGTGGCTCCAGATTCGAACACATTAACGAACAGTAAACGCATCATCAGTTGTAAGAAGCTCTTAACCGAAGCTCCGCGGAGGCCAGACCCCTCTTGACTGCAGTTTTCTTCAGGTTGAGATATTTTGTGCTCAGGACAGAAGCTTCTGTTTTGTTTCCTTGTCTCAGATGATATAAAATCTTTTTTTCAAAGTGTCGTCATGATGACATTACCTTTCAGGGAGGTAGCGGCACCTCTGGGATGCCGAAGAAAACCCCTTCCTCGCTGACATCATCACTCTGGGACTGAACCAGCTGCTGTGATGTCATTGCCGGGCTCACAAGAGGCCCAGTGCCCCGTCCCCCACTCCCCGCGGCCGAGCGCGCTCAGGGCAAACTGTTTTCTCTTTTTGGCCAACAGAGCTTTTTAAAAGAAGTATTTTTTCAAAGTTGTTTTGCTGATGTGTGTGGTTTTCTGGGGACGCTCCGTCTCCCTCCCCCTCTCTGCCTCTTTGTTTCCAGCTGCTCCTTCACTGACTAGTTTTTCTTTTTTACTTTATGTAAGTTAAAGGAAAAACAAACAAAAAAACACAAATGGACATTGTAAATAAAATCTTAACATTTTCCTCCTGGCGTCTCCTCTCTCGCCTTTTGTTGTGACCTTCCCCCCGTTTTGTCTGCAGCATTTGCTTATTTCTCAGATAATTACTAGGTTTTATAATAAACATTGTACCTCGGGTCTGTCAGCGCTGCCACAGGAGGCTAAACCAGTTCACCTCGCTGTGGTGCGCCTCACAAACCAGCAGATGTCGCTGTTTCATCACTGGTCTGTTCAAACCAGTTATAAATATTTAATGTTTAGATTTCTGTTCCTGTCGTTACTGCAGACGTTTTGAGTTTTTCTATGTTTTGACTTAACGTTGTTTAATTGGATGAAGAAGTTGGAAACAGACGACTGACAGGTGTGTTTTTATTTGTGGCTTCACTGACGAGCTGACCCAGTCAGAAAGTTGCCCTCATGAACTTCCTGGTGTTTCTGACCTCCAGCTCCAGCTGTTCGATCTTCACCTGCACGACAGAAACAGTCTGTTACCCAAAGTACTGAAATACGCGTTACACTCCTGCGTTACTGTTAGTTTGACTGTGGCTTTACATATTGTGAGACTATGGCTGGCAGGGTTTTTGTCATGTGCAGATTTCTGACCCGTTTAGATCCTGACTGGCACAGAAGGCACCTGCATTAGCAGAGGTTTACCAGAGTCTTCATCATTTACAGTGTCAGCTGTGATTTGAGAAGAAGAAGCACCATGTGGACTGTGGTTGTGTGATACCAACGTCTTTCTGACTGAGCTGCTCTTTCAGGCCTCTGATCTCGTCTTGCTGTCTGTAAAATTCTTGCAGGAGCTGAAATAAAAGAAAAGATGAGTGACGCGTGTTTCTTGGCAGGAAGAGAGGACGCTGCGTCCCGTCCACGGCTGCGTCTCGTCTGGCTGCCACCCCGACAGGTCGCTCACATCTGGAGGGTATTTGGCGTCCTGGTAGGCCAGCTGCTCGTCCAGGAAGCCCTGGAGAGAGACCACCAGTGGGGTTACAGCAGCTTTAGTCTAAAGAGCTGCTGATGTGGGGAATGATTCTTGGTGGTTAACGAGGCATTTTACATCTGTTTCACTAGAAAGCAACTTGAAGGTTATTAAAGTCATGTTCACTCTTGTTTACATTGAGAAATATTCAAACCCCTGACTTTTTTAATAGCTGCATCCTCTTATCAAATGCTGTAGAGCTCAAGTAACTTATTTACTATATCACTTAATTACTTTTGGTTACTTTTTAATAAAACTGTAAACTCTGTGCTTCCACAGAGCAACAAGGTGACGTCGCCTTGTCTTTTTGACCAACAGTCCAAAATCTGTTTAATTGAAAGAAAATTGACATTGTACAGGAGTTTGTTTTTGTTCAAACTTGAGAATCTCAAATCCACCAAATACCATAACCCATATATTTTCAAAGTAGCTGCAATGTACCTCTTCATTAGAAAGTACATTTCCACTACCTGGTGAATGTTGTCCACATAGACCAGCTCTAGACGTGGCCTGTGTTCGGTCTCATGTGTACAGATAGTTTGTAGAGACTGGTTGCAGATATCTTCATCGGCCAAACCTCTTGTTTTCTTAAAGGAGAAAAAATGCTGCCCACTGTTAGTTTCCCCTTTGTGGTGTGGATGGGATTCAAACCACAGTTTGACCTGTTCTGTGCGCTACCTCATTCATGAAGTCCAGGTTTGTCTGAGTCGCTGCACCAACAGCCGGGCCTGTCTGGAACCTCAGGGAGCTCAGCTGCTTCGCTAGCCCCCTCTCAGCAGGGGTTTCTGGGTAAGGGTTGGTTACTCCAGTCCCAGGCTCCAGGGACATCAGCACCGGGCCTGATGAAGAGATGTAAGACACAGGAAGCTGTCATAGACCACTGGCCTTCCTGTCAGCTGTTCAGAGGCACTGGCAGGTCACTGACCCCTGTTGATCCCTGACAGCCACTCCTGAGCCGTCATGGCCGCCTGGTTTCCAGCTGTCATTGGGTACAGGTCCTCTTGGAAAACACCTGACTGGAAGGACAGATGGGAAAGCCACAGCGTTTCTTTCCATCCTTTGTTTTCACTTTGTACAGTCTAGTTAATGAGATGAGAACACATCATCCTCACCTGTTTCCGCGGTACGATCATCGACAGCGGTTCCACCAGGTCTTTGACAGCGATCAGACGATAAAATCGGAAAACCTCACATATGTTCATGTCCAGGCCGCGTTTTGGCATCACCCCTTAAGGGAGGACAGAGGACATTTGGAAGTAATTTGTCTCTCAGTGCTGCTGGGGAAACGTTTTGTGCAGTGTCTCACAGCACATTGACGAGCAAGAAACGGGTTTTAAACATGGCTCCTGCCAGTGTGGCATGATGTACGCTCAGGGTCCACATATGCTGCACTGTTTAAACCGCTTGAACAGAAAGATGAAAGGCCTGTTTCTGAATTTCCAGGACAGGAACAACTTTCTGAAACTTCAGGTGTCTCCAGCATCCTGGAGGGGGAAGTGCTGCAGCACCCGATGCAATATGAAGCCGTGTGAGACCGTTTTTTCTGGTGGGAATGTGAGTACTCCATAAACCAATGTGCTAATCTGGACCCTTACCCAAATGAAATGTCACGTCCTGCTACCAATGATCAAAAATATAGTTGGACCAACATAAGTGGGTTTATTTAGCTGCGTTGCTCCGGCTGATGGGCTGTGACTTGTAAGTGTGTGTGTCTCACCCAGGCCTTTGTGTGGCAGCAGTGACCTGTACTCCATCAGGAAGCTGAGGTAAGGTTTCTCAGCGCTCAGCTCGTAGCACCTGATGTTCCCGTCACCCTAGAGCACACAAACATTAACAGAGAGCCTTAGACTCCTTATTGTATGTAAAGGTGGTCTACATGTTTAAGGACGCTGGTAAATTTGAAGTTTAAATTCCCTGTTGGGAAGACGACTCATCCATCTGAATCAGGGTACGCAAATAAAATAAAAAGCCTAAAATATGAGTGTGACCTCAAACACACACTGTGTGGCTGTAGGAATGGTGACGAAATACCAAACGTTAGAAGGAGTCGAAGACGGAGGAGAGAGAAATCCACTGCTTAGTGCATTGCTTGTGAAGATGGAAGAAGACCTATAGAAGCTGTACTCAAAGTTGTGTCTGGGTGTGTGTGTTCAAATGTGTTCTTGTGTGTTGTCTGACCTTTCCGGCCAGGTAAAGCATGTGTGTGTCCGGGTCGTAGAACGGGAAGAGAACTCCTCCGGCACCGTCCAGTTCTTCTTCGTACAGAGGCTCAGATAAGTCGTCCTGCACATGCAGACCCACACAGACAGCGACAACAAAATACACTTGACCTCTAGATTCACCGAATACCTGCTTGTAAAACCCCACTTTTTGTTGGAAAAGGGAAACTTAGTGAAGTTTCCAGAGGCTGAGCTGCTGCTTCCATCCACCAGGCTTTAACGTGCAGGTGAACAATAGCTACTTTTGTCCTTGGCAAAACATAAGCACCTCAGTGAGTCCTCCTTGGTGTTGTCTCATTGTGGTTTTAACTGTTTTTGGTGAAAAACATTTTTTAGAAGCAGCTGGCATTAAATGAAGAGAAGAAGGAGAAGTGAATGCAGATTTGATGCTGAGAATGTGCCGTGACATTATAGTTTAGGACACCTGCTGGTCTTCAGCTAATGATGTACAAGTGTGTGTCTCACAGGGTCCCAGAGGACGATGTGTCTGTGGTGCCAGGGCGAGCTGCCCGTGGACAGCAGCAGTTTCATCCCTCCTAGATATAAGACCTTACTGGCTCTGTGGGACTTGGGGCTGGACACCTGCAGGAGCATTAGTAACAGATTAGTTTTCTGTGTTCATGAGGACTCAGATGAAACAAACCCTTCAAGTAAAACACACCTGTAGAACTTTTCCTGTCCTTGGGTCCAGGACCCGAACCCGTTTGTCTTTGGATGTGACCGCCAGCCTGCTGCCGTTGCTGTTGAAGCTGACAGAAAGCAGCAGCGTCTCCGACGGGTAGCGGCGGTGGACGGGCATCAGAACGACCCGGACCGGGAACCTGATGAGTGCACTTTCCTGGGACACGTCCCAGAGGAGGACCTGGGATGAAAAGAGATGTGGCTGCTTTGAAGGGTGAGTTGACCTAAGTACACCAACTCAGGTTGTTTGAAGCAGCTATAAGCAGTACTTTTATCATGACAATGTACTAAATGAGAATGTGAAAGGGGTCGGTCACAGTGTCGAACCTACAGATACTGATCAGCTGAATCAACAGCTCTGCTCGGCTTCACAGACGCTTTCAGCTCAGTGTTTAGCAGCTTTACTGTTTGGGTTCGCTGTTACCACTCTGTGTGTTTCCAGCAGCAGGAAGCAGCTGTTTTCAGAGAAGACACTCTAAAAAGCCACTGTCCACTTCCTGCTCAGCAGCAGACAGACACAGTCAGAGACAGTGGACACAGTGCAGCATTTAGCAGCTACAGAGCCGGAGGTTTCCCTCAGGAGCTGGTGGAGACCAAAGCAGAGCTAATAGAAAGGGAGCACTGGACTGAGGTTCATCAACCACCTGATGAACCTCATTCCGGTGCTCCCAGTCCGTGGTGAGGTTCAACACGACTCAGAAGCAGCAGTAGAGACTTGGCTTCCTGGTATATTTATGTTCAGGCTCTGGCAAAATGCTTGTTGAGTCCAAGCAAAACTAAATGAGAAAAATCATTTTCTAGAGGCTACATGTAAGTTACAGTGGCGTAGGTTTGGCAGTACTGTACGCTGTGATAAATGATTTGCCAGAATCAGCCCAGTACTGGTGCCAGGTGCCGACACTGGCTCGAACTGGGCCAGGCTGCTGCTAACTGGAACTGACTCTCAGACCAAATCAGCTTTAGTCAGCAGAATCAGACCAGTGAGCTGGATCACATTTAGTCTTTAATTTAGTGCCAGAACACAGCTGATCACAACGCCACTGAGCCAAAATTCACCCTGATCATTGAACCTACTGGAGTGACACCGTGTCAGTGGTCGTCATTTATGAGGTAAGGCTTTAACACTATGAAGACTTCTTTACAAACATAAGGACGAGCTCTAGTTTTCACGG